TAAATAAATAAATAAAAAGTCTTCCCCCCACTCCCTCAGTTTGTGCTGAATAACAGAACAGAATGAAACATTTGTTCATTAAAACAAAACTCCTGCAGTAGGATGCTGTGAGTCACTCCTGACAGATTGAAAAGTGATGCGAAAAATAGTTCACAATCAGAACAGCTCTATGGCAAACTACACACAGACCAGGCTGAGAAAAGTGATGTGAAAAATAGTTCACAATCAGAACACCTCTATGGCAAACTACACACAGACCAGGCTAAGGAACCTACAACACCATTCAGTTGGTGAAACAGAAACTGGAAATCTCCAGGCATTTAAAAAAAAAAAATGTTATTCAGCATCGTACTACAAGAGATCAAGGTGGACTCAACATCTGTTTGCTGGAAACAAGAAGAAAACACATGAGAGATGTAGGAGTCCCTGAGTAGCACAAACAAGTTAAACACTTGATGACTAGTGAAAGGTTGGCTGGTAAAACCCAACCAAAGCCACCTTGGATGACAGGACTAGTGATCTAATTCCTCAGGATCACAGCCTTGAAAACCCTATCAAACAGTTCTACTCTGTACACATGGGGATTCCATGAGTCAGAATTGATTTGAGGACAACTAACAACGTGCCCTAGCCTAGTAAATTTTCAACAGATGGGTTCTTCATACCCAAGTATTCAATTATCCCAGCTCATTCAGTTGTCAAAGTTATTACATAATAAGAAACATTTCTGATAAACCAACATAAAATTAGCAGTCACACCAATATTTCTCTCTGTTGAAGGTTGGCAATTCTTTCTACTCAATTTGGTAAACTCTTTGGTCAGTTTTTCAATGATTGTTGGATGCTATAAAGATTAGCCAACACAGTGCAAATATGAAACACACTAAAATTGCAAATCTTGCAAAAGATAGACTTCATTCATATAGTTGATGAAAGGGATGTCGGAGAACCACCAAATCACAAACAGATCCATTGAACAAAATTGAGTCAGGACTTTTACAATTGAAGAAAAGAAAAATGGAATTATGCACAATAGCAGCTCCAAAATGAAACAATCTATCAGAGGATTAAGAGAGACTATGAGAAAAACTGATAAAGCCTTCAATAATTGTTTGAAAAACCTGCTCTCTGTGTAATAAAGATATTAAGGACAAATATTAAGTAAAGTAATTTTTATTGTGCTATACTTTTTTCATGGAGGGTCAGAGAAAAACAGGAAGACCCCTAACAAGATGGACTGGCCAAGTGGCAGCATTGATGGACTCAAGCGTGGCAACAGTAGTGAGGTTGGTCCAGGATCGGACACTGTTTCGTTCTGCTGTGCATAAGGTCACTATGGGTCGGTACTGACTCGATGGCACCTAACAACAACAACAGCATATTTTTTTCAGAAAAAAAAAAAGCCAAAACGAAACTCATATGACTCAATGACTGTTATAGGGGTCTAGTTTATATACGCATGAGTTTATTCCAAACCCAACGTGTCTAAACATGTCTCTGTGATGAGTGGATGGCTGCAGACATGTTCTCTCAGTAATACACTTGTCTCAGTTTCACTAGGTTGCCTTCAAAAAAGAGGTACTTTTGGTGCCATCGAATAAAATGATTTTGAGGTCAGGTCTAAAAACAACAAATTTCTGACAAAACTAAAGTGGACATCTTCCCAAATTACTGAAGTTTTACAAATTTATGGGGATGCTGCACTACAGAAAACAACAGTTCTTAGATGGATCAAATGTTTTAAAGATGGTCAGGAAGACCTCAAAAATGAATTCAGGACAGAGAGATCAGCTCAAAAAGTTATGCTGATGATTTTATGCGATTCCAGAGTGATATTCTTGATAGATTCATTCAAAGAACTCAGGACAATCACAGGGGCTTATTCACAAGAATTTCTTTTTTTAAAAAGTTGAAAAACTGTCATTGATACGGAAAAAGGTCAAGAAAATTGAGTCAAGGAATTTTTCCCACCATGACAATGCACCTGCTCATTCTTCAAGGGTGGCAAGGGCTATCCTATAGACTTTACTTGAGAAAACTTAACCCATCCACCCTACAGCCCTGATCTTCTTACACATTCAGCCTTTTCTTTGTTCCCAAAACCCACGGAACATTTCAAAGGAGCACAGTTTGGGTTCCTCAAGGATGCCAAAACTGCCAGTTTGATATGGTGTGAATCTGAGTGCAGAACTCTTCAGAAATACATAGACCTAGCTAGAGAATACGTCACTATACAACACATTCACATTTTGATATTTTTGTTTAGTAACGGTTTATGTGACTTTTTTTTTTTTTTACTTCCTCTCATATAGCAGCCTATTTTAAATTGTATGTTAAACTGCTTGATAAACAAAATGTTTAGTACACTATTTTTTTTCCAAAATTACAAAGATTTGCTTATCCTCAAAGTCTATTATTTAACAGAAAGTTTAAAGTTCTTGTCATAATTTACAGCATTCATGTTTTCCAGTTATTATAGAGAGGGGTTTCTTCAGTAAATCCATCATTCAAAAGGAAAGCTGAAAAACTGTCTGCACAGACACCACATGAAGAGTACAATTACAGCAGAGTATCAGTTCAACTACAGAGCAAGTTCCTTCTTCCTTTTTTTACAACTATTGCTAAGGTGTTGGGAAAACACTTATTTCCCCATTGTTTCTACTCCCACAGGGGGAAGGGAAATTCCCTAGGCGTGAAAAGTACAAGAAAACCTCTCCTGGCTTTTCTTTACCCCTTCATTTAGAACGGCTTATCTGATTGGTTAGTCTGGACTCAAGCTTGGAAGGCTCACCCTTTTCCTCTCTTTTTCCTATCAGTTGTAGGATCTCACACATGCTCCTTCATGTCCTAATGCTACATGGGAAAGCTCTACCTCCTTAGAGCAGGTCTTCAGTTGTCCAGCTATGCCTGTGATAAGGTCAGTGTGTCTCTCAGAAGTGAAGAATTAACAAGTCCACTTGGCTACAGATCTAAAGCCATGTTCTTTCTTCAATTTTATCAATAGTAAAGCTGTTACTCTAATCTCTATCCTTTGTCTCATTTCTCAATTGATTACAAAGTTGGGAGGAAAAGATAAGCATGTTCTTTATTGGTCCTTTATAAATTCCAAGCCAAGATAAAGTGTAAAATTAAACCAGAGAAAAGCTTTTTTCCTTTTCCTCACCTTTCTCATCATGGCTATAAGTACCTATTAAGAATCTACATATGTAGCTGTAAGTTGGTTCTGTGCTATCAACAGCACCTCTGGTCACTAGAGATCAACATGATCACAGGAGCCCAGCAAAGGTTTAGAAAGTCAAAAGACCTCATGATGGTAAGTTGGGGGAAAAAACAAACTAGTTAATAGTATTTGCCTCCAGGAGCAAGATTACAGTTTGAAGTACCCTTAGTTACATTAACCAAATCAAACACCAAACTTATAGGCATTGAGTCCATTCGGCTAAGAGTAGAACTGCACCATGGGCTTTCTGAGACTGTAAGTCTTCACAGGAACAGACCACCGTATCTTTTTCCAGTGAGCAGATGGTGGGTTTGAACTGCCAACCTTCTAGTTAGCAGTCCAGTGCTTATCCCACACCACCACCAGGGCTCCCTAGTTCGATAGTTGTTGTTAAGTGCCATTAAATCGGTTCTGACTCATAGCAACCCTGTATAGGCTTTCTAAGGCTATAAATTTTGGCAGGAGTAGAAAACCCATCTTTCTCCTGTGGAGCTGCTAGTGGACTTAAATCGCCGACCTTGTGGTTGGCAGTCCAGTGCTTATCCTACAAAGCTATATTTTAAAGATTTTCCTAGATTTAAAATTCTGTTTTTTCTTTTTAATTCTGTTTGCAGTTTGCATGGATCACTTGAAATCATACTTTTCATATTTTCTTTAGCAGCTCAAGGTGGTCCTGTTGGCATAGTGACTGAAGTGCTCAGCTGCCAACCAAAAAGACTGGCATTTCAAAATCACCAGTGGTTCCGTGGAAGGAAGAGTTGGCAGTCAGCTTCTATAAAGACTTGCAGCGCTGGAAACCCTGTGGGGCAGCTCTACTCTGTCCTATAGAGTGGCTACAAGTCACAATCAACACCATAGCAGTGGATTTGGATTTGTGGTTTTAGCAGCTCAAGCACAGTTGAGCTACAAAAACAAATCAATGAATAAACCTAAGAACCTCTTATTCATCATCTCTAAAAATGAGAATATTACCTTCTTCTGCTCTGAGTTTTTGAAAGTATATTGTTGTTGTTATGTGCCATAGAGTCGGTTCCGACTCATAGCGACCCTGTACAGCGTTTCCGAGGCTGTAAATCTTTACAGGAGCAGAAAGCCTCATCTTTCTCCTGCGGATCAGCTGGTAGTTTCAAACTGCTGGCCTTGAGGTTCACAGCCCAATTAGTAACCACTACGCTACCAGAGCTCCTTTTTGAGAGTATAGTATCAGGTAATATATGAGTGGGGTTCAAAAATTTCATGGAAAAATGAAAAGAAAAGATAATACCTCATATGTGAAAAAGTTTATCAAAATTCCCGACATATTTTAGTTTTCTAGCCCTGGTGTGGCACTGTAGGGTAAGCACTGGACTGGTAATCCCAAGGTCGGAAATCCAAAACCACCAGTCACTCTTGGAAACCCTAAACATGTTCACTATGAGTCAGCATGTAACAGCAACGGCTACGGATAACTTGTCCAAACCAACTCAATGGCACTAAACATCCTTTTTCTGTGGTCTGCAGCTAGTAACTTTTACCACTAGATGGCAATGTTGCATCAGTAAAGTAAAAAGTTGATTAAGTTGCACCAAGGAAAGTCTGATAGTATTTAATTGCTAAAAGTGAAAAAATGTGTAAAAAAGTACAGGTGTCTCATGTTCTAGGAATGAACAAAAGTAAGTGCCCTTACTTTTCACTTTAAATCATAATTCATTTTAACAAAGCAACACGAAATCGTATGAAAAATACACTGAACAAGGTATAAGGCATATTTGGTAGTTAATAGAAATATTTAAACATTTACCTCTGCCCCCAAACTGAGAGAAATGATTTCATCCTCAAAAGCAGAATGTGTGTCAATATGAGCAGGAATTCCTGAGATGGAAACAGAATGTCAGGTCACTTCATTTTTACTTTTAATAGATTTGATGATTCTAAATACAGCTTCACACTATGATGGTATAAATACTGCTTGGTAATCAGGAAAGCACTAAAATTTTAGTTAAAAGAAAACATTTAGAGGTGATGTGATTAAAATTAACATCAAGTTAAAGTGTCACTGAGACATGATTTTTAAATCAAGTCTTACGTCCTTCTTAACAAGGGCAATGAAGGACATGGAAGGTAAATACCAAAGTAACTGTTTTCCCTGAGCACTGGATTTTGTCAAGTATTTTCAGAATGTAAGCAACAGGCAAGGAGCCCCGGTGGTGTAATGGATTATGCGTCGGGCTGCTAACTACAAGGTCGGCAGTGTGAGTCCACCAACCAACTGCTCCCTAGGAAAAAGACGAAGCTTTCTGCTCCCGTAAAGATTTACAGTCTTGGAAACCCTACACAGGCTTGGACCGCACACAACACAGCCACCATCAAGCAACAGACGGTTAGATCCATAAAGACTAAGCAAATCAGCAATTAAGATGTGGCTTTCCCCAACAATCTATCAGCCTCTTAATAAACAACTTTTAAGTAAAGGGAATTTTGCTACAAGGTAAGGATACAAACTAAGTAAGACACTATTCCTCTCACTGGGAAAGATACGCACTAAGAAAGGGGCAGGTAAGTAAATAAGCGATTAAAATACACTGTGATAAATACACAAAACAAAACTCTACAACACCTGTAATTAATAAAGTTCTTAAAATCACTTGATTACTATAAAATTAGAAAAAGATGCTATTAAGAGTAATGCCTTCTACCCTGTCAAATACAGGAGAGAAAAGTGCAACATCAACATCGTTCTCTGTATCTGTAAATTAGTTCTTACATCGTCATGTCTCCTGTTTTCCAAGCAACCACCTCCCTCTCTCTAAATAAAGCAATGAGCAAGATACAAAAACAAAATAAAAACCCAAAAAAATCATAAAGTAATTTATGTCACTTTAAAATGCAAATTTCTCTTCAAGGCTTTGAAATGCAGATTTGCAAGGGATCAAATTTAACACAGGTAACAAATACAAGCAAATTAATCTAAGAAGTTAGTTTGAGCTAAAAATATAAAAACAAAAACTTTAATTTTAGAGTGTTACACAATGTATGAAATATACAGACAACCGGAATTTTTAAACAAGAAATACTCACCATGACCAGGTTCATACTGGTTTATGGTCAACTGATCAGGCTTGTGCTTAATGTAACCTTCTTTCAACCATTTCTCTAAAATGCTATCACAAATCTCAGGAAGACCTGAAGCCAGTAAACATAAAGCACATCATTAAAATATTTCCTTGGCCTGTTTTACCCAAGAGTAAAAAATAATCACTATTATAAAACACATAGCATTGAATTTGGCAGTTATAGCCACTAATCTGTTAACAAACCCACAATCAAAATAAAATGAAAACAAAGTCTTACAAATATTTTGAAGTTATTTCATTGATTTTATCAATAAAAACCCTAAAGAACAATTTTATTACAAGTTTGACAATTTTCAAAATAGAAATAAAACAGTAAAATTTAATATACAATAGAAATTTACGTCATCACTTTTTTATTTTACATTAATTCTATTATCAATTTAATCATTTAAAATTATTTTCCTTAAATTTATTTTCAAAGTGGAAGTTACTTTTATTGAGCTAAAAAACCTTAAATCTATAAATTTTATCTCATGACCATAAAGCCTTAATTAAACCAATGTCATAAAAAAATAAACTTATTTTTATAAAAAGTAAATATACAAGGACATAAAAAATGAAGATAACATTAAAAGAGATTAATTGATGTAATAGCCATAGTGTAAAAGACATCATCATGAAGATAGGGCAAAATCAGACAACTAACAACACCAAGCTCTGTGTAATAAAGACAGCATTTGATTTCTAAAGCAATTCTGTATTAAAAAAAAAAAAAAAGTAAATATAGGTTCAACAAAAATTATACCACAGGATTAACACCCAGAATATATCATTCTTACAAATCAATAAACAATCCTTAGGAAAAAAACTGGCAAAGGGTATGAAAATGAATTCACAAAAGAGGAAATGCAAACAAGAAAATGCAATAAGGAAAGTATAAGTTAAAGACAAACAAAATTCCAATATATTAAATCTGTATTTGAACTATTAGTGTTTATTAGTAGTTACTTACCCCCAGGTAATGGATTATTTTTATCTACATTGTTGGTCCCATAATGGAATTCATAGCCAAAATGCTTTACTCTTCTGTGTTTTAAAGATTTTTTAACTATACGAAAATAAGAAAGTATTTGAAATATTAACTACCTGAAAGAAAAAGAATTGAGTTCTTTCATGTATTTCAAAATCCACATTAAGAATTAGTTTACCCCCTCTAAGACTAAAACTCAAAGGGAACGCATGAGCAGGCAGGTAAGCTTCCTGGCAACCACATTGGTTGACTAGTGAGTGGAAGAGGGGGAAAGGCAATGAAGACATGGGCTGAGTTCAACCACGTTCCAAAGACTCCCGCTGACCACAGATAAGAGGAAGGGCTGGTTTGTCCAAAGTACAGTAAGACCTGGGGACACCTGAGCCCATGGACAAGGACATAGCCTCAGACGGATAGAGCTGAGAGTGAACTATCCAGCTGATATGAAGTGAGGGGTGATGCACAAGAACACCCAAACTTGCAGATAGTACCCACTTGACCTAGCCTCGATGGCTTGATAATCAGAACTCGACTAGAAGAGGATTTAAAAAAAAACAAAAACAACAAAATAATTTTTGATAATGGAAACGAGGGTAAATTGCTACATTTGATGAACCTGACCTATACTCATCGAGGTTCTTCTTGTTGTTCAGTGCTGTCAAGTCGATTCCAACCCACAGCGACCCTGTACAGGGTTTCCGAGGCTGTAAATCTTTACGCCTCATCTTTCTTCCGCTGAATCACTGGTAGTTTCGAACTGCCGACCTTGAGGTTTGCAGCTGGACTCGTAACCACTGCGCTACCAGAGCACCTTACTCATGGAGGTAGTAACTCTAAATACCAACAGAGAGGGAAGGAGTCTTCACATCAAGTATCAATGCTATCCCTTCTGTATACAGGGTAGATAGGGACAGGCAACTTAGACATTAGCTACCTAAAATGAGGGGGCGATAAAGGCATGAAGTGACTGGCTTACAAGGTTTCAAGAGGGAGTTTAGTTTAAGAGTGTGTGGGGGAAGAAAGAGTCCCCATTGAACAGTTTTCTTCTTGTCTAGATGAGTCTGGTTAAAGGAGATGGGGATAAGATTCTTAAGATTCAATAGTGAGTAATTGTTATCATGACTAATTGTAACTGTCACAATTGTAAAGGTAGAAGTTTAGTAATAAAAACGGTGAGTAATGAATCTTACAGTCCAGGAACAAAGGACCCAAGGCCATCAAGGAAGAAGAGCACAAGCGGAATACGAGACCTTATCCGGAGAAACATAGATACCAGAGATGGGGACATGGGGACAGAGAAGAGCGGAGGACTCTAGATTCATGGAAAAAGAGGGACTGAGAGCAGGCAGCCAAGACGCAGACTTGCAGAATGTGCCCTTTGGTAGTTTAAATTATTATATGTGTCTGAGTGTTTTTTTTTTTTTTTAAAAAAGAGCTAAATAAAGAGAAATTCTGTTAACTGATGATACATGGAGGGGATTATAATCATTGTAATGAAACAAGGTGTATGATTTGTTGAACGTAAAACTGATAGCTATATAAATGTTATTGATCTGCCCTGCAAACTTTCACTCAATTTTACAAAAAAAAAAAAAAAAAAGTTTAGTAATAGTAACTTCTATTACTTGTTAGATTACTGTCTTTAATAAAATGAACTCTTCTGCCCTGTGTCTGAGATTCTTCTAATTCCAAATTGAGGAGTGCTGGTGGCACAACAGATGAAGCATTGGACAGCTAGCTGAAAGGCGTCTGTGTCTTGAACACACCAGCTGCTTCATGGGAGAAAGATGAGGTTGTCCTTGCAAAGATACCGCAGCTAATATTTAAAGAGTCTCAGTCACTGAATTTTGAGGACCTAACATATCTAATATTAAACATTTTAATATTTAATCAACTTTTAATATTTAAATAAACATTTGGACAAGGCTTGTATATAGTGACACTCACAAACTGTTAATGATCTGGAAAGAATCCAAATAGATAACTAAGAGCATTACAGATTCCATTAAGATTCATTTACTCATTTTATTTAGAATAAAAGCTTTAACTATAAAGTGCATGTCTCCATGTGTCTCTTATTACATGGTAATGGTATGCTATAAGAAATGCTGATTTCTTATAGTAAAAATATACAACAGAAAACAAATCAGCACCAAGCCTACTGCCATTAAGTTGATTCCAACTCAATAGCGACCCCTATAGGACACAGTAGAACTGCCCTTTTGGAAGCTTCCACAGCTGTAAATATGGGAGCAGACAGGATCATCTTTCTCAGGAGAAGAAGCTGGTGGGTTCGAACTCTCAAATCTTTTGGTTCATAGCCCAACTAATAAATAACCCAATATGCCACTAGGAGAGGATCGTTTCAATAAGATACGTGAAAGGGTTTATAAGTGTTAGCTACACAAACATTGGATAGTCTATTAGACTTTAATTTTTTTTTAATGTTTTATTGTGAAACATGTGATAGTTTATATGGGAGAACATTAGTTTTACATTCATCCTATCGTATATCGTTGAGCTACTTCACCCATAGGTGTATGTCAAGTTTATCAAATTGTATCAGATTACTCTTTTTTTCCTCTTCTTTCTTTTTCTAGTTGAGCTCTGATCATCCAGTCACTGAAGCCAGGTCAAGTGGGTATTATCTGAAAGTGTGGGGGTTCTTGTGCATATGCCCTCTCTTCTTACCAGCTGGACGCTTCACTCTCCATTCTAGTCTCTCTGTAGCTATGTCACTGACTTTGGACTGAAGAGTCCCCAGGTCTTGTCACACTGCTGGCCAACCAGGTCTCCACCTAGGTTCACAGGAGTCTATTGAACATTGTAGGGCTTAGCTTACAGCTTCATTGCTGTTTTTCCCTCACTTCCCCTTATCGGTGATGAACGTGGTTACCAATCAGAGCATGTATTCCCATTGAGTCTTGGTCTTGGGAGGGGGTTTGCTCGGAGGGGACCCGACAACTTGCCTTGATGTCTCCCCTGGGCAACCTAGAGTTTAAAATTGATAGCTATATAAATGTTATTATTTGTGCCCTTAAGAATTGTTAGTATGACTTGCCTAATGGGATCCATCCAGGTTACTTTTGATAATTTTTTTAATTTTTAAGAAATATTAAAAAGTTTTTAATAAACCTAAGGGGAAGGAGAATGAAGGAGAAGGAGAGAGATGGCATTTTACAAAAATGTTTAAATATATAAGATTTTAAAAATTTTACTTACCATTCTGATTGTCTGTACCTTCAGTCCAATTAATGCTTTGCAAAAGCATTTTCTCATCCTCAGAAGAAATAATTTCTTCCACTACCGTAAGGCCTGGAGGTAAGCTCTGAAGCTCCATCTCTTTCCATTCTACTGTGGGACACCAAAACAGTCATATAAATATTCAAGATTTCCATATACAATAACATGATAAAACAGAAAAAAGACTGAAATTGTCAAGGACTTCATTTTACTTGGATTCACAATCAGCACTCATGGAGGTAGCAGTCAAGTTATTAAATACCATATTTCATTAAACAAATCTGCTGCAAAAGTCCTCTTTAACATGTTAAACAGCAAAGATGTCACTTTGAGGATTGAGGTGCACCTGACCAAAGCCACAGCTTTTCAACTACCACATAAGCATAAAACTGGAGAAAAACTGATGCATTTGAACTGTGGTGTTGGTAAAGAATACTAAAGTACCATGCACTACCAAAACAAGCAAATCTGTCTTGGAAAACATACAGCCAGAATGCTCCTTACAAGCACATACTTTGGACATGTTATCAGGAGGAACCAGTCTCTGGTGAAGTAAAAAACCTTGCTTGGTAAAACAGAGAGTCAGTGAAGAAGACCCTCAATGAGATGGGTTGGCACAGTGGCTGCAACATTGGGCCCCAACACAGGAATGATTTTGAGGATGTCATAGTGTTTCATTCTGTTATACACAGGGTCGTTACAAGTCAGAAACAACTCAGTGGCCCCTAGCAATACAAGAGGTGCAAGGGGGAAATGGGAAGTCAATGCTTAAGTGCACTAAATTTCCATTAAAGATAAGGAAAAAACCCTGAAAACAAATAGTGACGACGGTTGTTCAACACAGTGAAAATAATTATTGTCACTGAAGTGTACATGTAAAAATTATTGAAAAGGCAAACGTTCTCATCTATATCTATGTTAGCACAAGACAAATCTTAAATAAAAAGGGAGCCACATGATGATACCTTTTTCCACAAAATTCAAGTACAGAATGATCTTTTGTCCCAAATCATCCACTATCTCTTTTCCATTGAGTGTAACATAGGCCTTCTTGGATTCTTCTATGGTTTTGTATCTTACAAATGAGTAGGGCTTATTAGGTGGCATTAAGAGGACATCGACCAGTCCACATTTCTCCAAAACAGGAAGCAGCTGGTTTCTACTCACGCCATTACCCAAACCACCGTTGGCAACAACCAGGCTCTTCAAAAAGCAAAAAAGAAGCAATATGAGCAACTGACATTATTTATTTTAAAATAAGGCTATTTTAAAATAAGATTTTACAAAGATATAATTGAGAAACAAAAAAAAAGGCTTCCTTATGGTGGTATGGTGCTGTGGTTAATGCGCTGGACTACAAGGTCAGTTTGAACTATAAGGTCAACAGCTCAAGATCAGCAGCTGCTCCTAGGAAACTCTATATGGGGTTTGCACTTAACAACAACGGTGGTTTCATACAAAGTATGCAAATCAATTTACTAAATATTTTGGGCTTTAAAAGTTCCCCTACATTACAAATAATGATTTTTTAAAAATAGCTGATCTCAATAAAATATTCTTTTCTTTGATTTTCTTTTTTAAGTTTTTATTGTGAATTAAGTGATAGTTTACATGGGAGAACATCAGTGTTACACTCATCATTTCATTGCAATGATTGTAATCCCCTCCTGCATTATCATTCAACAGTATTTGCTTCTATTCCCTCTGGGGTTTTTATGTTTTTCTGGGGAGAGGTGATTATTTTCTTTAAGTTTTTATTGTGAATAGAGTTAAGGTTTATCCAGCAGATCATCAGTTTTACATTCAACAAATTATATATTCATTTCAATGATTGCAATCCCCTCCAGGTACCATACCATCAGTTAACAGTACTTAAATAAAATATCCTTAATGACCATAAATTCAAATTAAATGTAATTTTTTGTTTAATTGCTTATAAATACAAATTTAACATAATGAAAGGGGAAGAAGGAGCCAGAAAAGAAACAAGGACAAGTAGTTACATGACACTTGTTTTCTGTGAGACCCTATGTTATATGCTTTCACTTACTTAGTCCTCATTAACATAATCTTCACAAAATCATACAAAGCAGGTAATACTAGTCCCACTTTATACAAGAAGAAACTGAAGATCTAAAAATTCAGTTAGAAGAGTGTCTGGGGGTGCTGGGTTTTATACCTATTTTTGTCACTTTCCAGAATACAAATTTTTTATATACCATTACATAATTTCTACTAAAAACTAAAGGTAAATATTCTGGGTCTAAGAAAAAACAATTCTAGATTCTATTCTACATAACTGGAGTCCGGTGTAGTGCTGTAGGATAATGCAATGGACTGCAAGGTTGGTTTGAATCACAAGGTTAGTGGTTCATCTTACCAGTTGTTCCTCAGAAACCCTATACAGGGTTGCTATGAGTTGCAACCGATTTGATGGCACTTAACAACATTCTACATAAATATAAAAATCTTCCCCATTGTTTAAAGCAATTCAGTGAGTCTGAAATTAAATTTTTTCCTTTGTAAGTTTCACGTGTACTTCCTGTCATTTGCAACAACTTTATTCAAGGGATTTTTTGGAGTGGACAGGAGACTTCATAGTCTTTGTATTTAAAAAACATCCTACATGGTTTTGATTAAGATTTTTAATTTATGATCCATGACTTTTAAAACTTTATAGTGAAAACAAAAGCAAACTACTTACAGCCTACTTTTACCAACTGCATCATTTATACCAAATGTCAACAAACTTTTTCTGAAAAGGGTCAGAAAGTAAATATTTTAGACTTTGTAGGCCATAATATGAGAGACGAAGCTTAGCCATCTTGGCATCCAAGGAGCACTCTTGCTGCACTTCTTCCAAAACAGATCTATTGATTCTTTTGGCAGTCCATAGCACTTTCAGTATTCTCCTCCAACACCACAACTCAAAGGCATCAATTCTTCTACGATCTTCCTTATTCACTGTCCAGCTTTCACATCCATATGAGGTTATTGAAAATACCATGGCTTGAGTCAGGCGCACCTTAGTCCTCAAGCTGACATCTCTGCTCTTCAATACTTTAAAAAGTTCCTGTGCAGCCGATTTGCCCAATGCAATAAGTCCGTCTGATCTCTTGACTGCTGCTTCCGTGAGTGTTGATAGTTGATCCAAGAAGAATGAAGTCCTTGACAACTTCAATCACTTCTCCATTGATAAGAATGCTGTTTATTGGTCCAATGGTGAGGATTTTTGTTTTCTTTACATTTGAGTTGTAATCCATACATAAGGCTGTGCACTTTGATCTTCATCAGTAAATATTTTAAGTCCTCTTCACTTTCAGCAAGCAAGGTTGTATCATCTGCATATCTCAGGTTGTTAATAAGTCTTCCTCCGATCCTGACGCCACATTTTCCTTCATAGAACCCAGCTTCTCATATTATTTGCTCAGCATACATATTGAACAAGTATGGTGAAAGAATACAACCTTGTCACACACCTTTCTTAATTTTAAAACATTCAGTGTTCCCATGTTCTGTTTGAACAACTGCTTCTTGGTTATGCTATAGCATAATGCTATAGCAACTGTTTTTATTTTAGGATTCCCAAGGATTAATCTTGATAGATTTTTCTCAATGGACACAGGAACATTATTAGTTTTACTCAAGTTTTAAGGAAATGAAAAACTGTATTGTTGAGGGGAAAGCCAAGAAAGAGACACCAAGGACCTTATTTTCATCATGACAATGCACCTGCTCATTCTTCAAGGTGGCAAGGACTGTCCTGCAAGAATTCCACTGGAAAACTTTACTCCATCCACATTATAGTCCCAATCTTACCCTTTCATACTTCTTTTCATTCCCAAAATTCAAAAAAACATTTCCAAGGAACACAATTTGAATGACTTGTGGATGTCCAAACTGCCATTTTGACATGGTGTCAACAGAAGAGGGCAGAATTCTTTAGGGGAAGAATTAGCGAACGTAGAGTTGCCTTCAGAAGTGTATACACCTAGATGGGAGGCTATGTTGGAAAACAATAGTTTCACATCTTAATAGGTTTGCTTAATAAATGTTTCTATGATTTTATAGCAATATTTTTTGACTTAACCTTATATATCCACTCCTTCCCAGAAAGAAAAAGTTAGCAGGTCCTCTCACATGTATACTTAATATGAGTGTACCATATGACTAAATAATTACAGCCTCCTTCTCTGAGAAATTAACAAGTATTAATATGTTAACATGGCACTATTTTAACATTCAAATGATCGTAATAGTTTTAGGTCACCTGAGTGGCACAGGATACTGTCTCAATGCCTTCATGTCTCAGCAGCGTATGGCTGGCTTTAATCTGTTTCCTTAAGAACTTCTTCTCAGTTTTATTGAGCTTGTAATTACTTTGGTGGTTGCTCTCCATAACAGTACTGTAAAAGAATAATAATTAAAAAAATATCAATCTCAATTATAATGATGTCATTCATTAATATATTCTCGACTCCTGGTACGGCGCTGTAGGATCAGTTCTGGACTGTGAACCACAATGTCGGCAGTTCAAACCCACCAGTTGCTACTCAGAAACCCTATACAGGGTCACTGGGTCAGAACCCACTTGATGGTATTTAAGGTGCTAAGTACTGTCAAGTGGGTTCTGACTCACAGTGAGCCTATACAGGGTTTCTGAGGCTTTAAATCTTCACGGACGCAGAATGCCTCATCTTTCTTCCATGCAACAATTAATGGGCTTGAACCGTGGACCTTGTGATTCACAGTCCAGTACTTAGTGTATAGAACCACCGTGCTCCCATATATTCTATAGTTCATATATCTATATCTATATATTCCATGGTGGTGGTGGTGGTTGTGCACCATGGAGTCGGTTCTGACTCATAAAGACCCTCTATAGGGTTTCCAAGGCTGTAAATCTTTATGGGAGCAGAAAGCTTCATCTTTCTCCTACAGAGTGGCTGGTAGATTAGAACTGCTAACTTTTTGGTTAGCAGCTCAGTTCATAATCCACAACACTACCAGGGCTTCCATAGTTTATAAAAATTTCTGTGACCGTATTTTTAAATGCTCACCAAGATATGAGAAGAAACAGATGCACAGATAATTAAGGAACAGCTAAGAAGGCAATAAAGTGGTAAAAGTGTATAATACCATCTATTTTATTATCATTTAGTGCTGTCAACTCAGTTTCAGTTCATAGTGACCCTGCACAGGGTCTGCAAGAGCGTCTGGTGGGTTTGAACTGCTAACTTTATGGTTACCAGCCCAGTGCTTATCCTACACTGCCACACCAGGGCTCAATACATCTATGTTGTTCTTGTTAAGTGCTGTCAAGTCAGTTCCAACTCACAGCGACCCTGCGTAGGGTTTCCAAGGAGTGGCTAGTAGGTTTGAATTACTGACCTGGAGGTTAGCAGTCCAATGCTTATTTTACAGCATCACACCAAGACTCCAATACATCTATGGTGGTGGTGGTGGTGGTATGCCCTGAGTTGGTTCCAACTCAAAGTGAACCTGTCTGTATAGGTTTTCCTTGTCTGCAAATCTTTATGAAAGCAGAAATTCTCATCTTTGTTCCATGGAACAACTGGTAGATTTGAACTGCTGACCTTGTGGATAGTACCCCAACTCCCAACTCGTAATTCACTATCCTACCAGGGCTTCTTCCAATGCATATATGTTGTTGTTGTTAAGGGCCATCAAGTGAGTTCCAACCCAGAGTGACCTTGTATAGGGTTTCTGAGGAGCAGCTGGTGAGCTTGAACCACCGACCTTACAGTTCATGCCAACTTTGTAATGTAGACCAGCACATTAACCCACAGTGCCACACCAGGACTCTAATACATGTGGGTTCTAAAAGAACATTCAATACTTTAGCTCCATTTATCCATTTATATTTATAAATTCCTAAGTAAAACATGCCACAGAAAATTCTACAAACATAATGTTGTTGTTGTTGTTGTTAGGTGCCATCAAGCAGGTTCTGATTCATAACAGCCCCATGCACAACAGCAGGAAACACTGCCTGGTCCTGCACCATCCTCATCATTGTTGTTATGCTTGACTCCACTGTTGCTGCCTCTGTGTCAATCCAGCGTGCTGAGGGTCTTCCTCTCTTTCACCAACCCTCCACTTTACCAGGAACGATATCCTTCTCATGAGAACATGTCCAAAGAATAAAAGACAAAAATCTCGTTATTCTCCCTTCTAAGGAGCCTTCTTGATGTGCTCCTTCTAGATTTGTAGGCTCACCTGGCAGTCCATGTTACTTTCAATATTCCTCAGCAACACCGTAATTCAAATGCTTCGATTCTTCTAATGTCTTCCTTATTCATTGTCCAACTTTCCCACGCATGTGAGGTGATTGAAAATATCATGGTTTGTGTCCTCAAACTTACAACATTGCTCTTGAACACTTTAAAGAGGTCTTTAAAGTGCAGCAGATTTGCCTAATGCAATACATCATTTGATTTATTGACTGCTGATTGCATGAGAACTGATTGTGAATCCAAGCAAAACAAAGTCTTTGACAATATCAATCTTTCTCCCATTAATCGTGGTGTTATTCATTGGTTGTGAGGATTTTTGCTCTCTTTATTCTGAGGTGCAATCAACCCATACTGAAGGCTGTAGTCTTTAATTTTCATCATTAAGTCCTTCTAGATTCCAGCAAGCAAGATTGTATCATCTGCATATCGCTCAGGTTGCTAATGAATCTTCCCCCAGCCCTGATACCACGTTCTTCATCATATAGTCCAGCTTCTCAGATTATTTGCTCAGAGTCCTTGTATGGTGCAATGGGATAAAGCACTGGACTGCAAGGTCAATGGTTCAAACTCACCAGGCACTCCTTGGAAACCCTATGCAGAGTCGCTATGAGTCAGAACTGACCCAATGGCACTTGACAACAACAACATACAGATTAAATAAATATGGTAAAAGGATACAACCCTGACACACACCTTTCATGATTTTAAACCATTCAGAATCCCCTTATTCTGTTCAAACGACTACCTCCTGGTCTATATACAGGTTCCTCGTGAGAGCAATCAAGTGTTCTGAAATACTCATTTTTTGCAATGTTAATTAGTTTGTTAGGACCTAACAGTTGAATGTCTTTGCATAGTCAATAAAGCTAAGTAAACATCTTTCTGGTACTGTCTACTTTCAGCCAAGATCCATCTGATGTCAGCAAAGATATCGCTCACTCACATCCTCTTAGGAATCCGGCTTGAATTATTGGCAATGTTCTGCTGCAACCACTTTTGAATCATCTCCCACACAGTTTTACTGCCATGTGATTAATGATACTGTTCAGTGATTTCTACATTCTACTGGATCATTTTTCTTTTGGAATTGGCACAAATATGGGTCTCTTCCAATCAGCTGGTCGGGTAGCTATCTTCCAAATTTCTTGGCATAGACCAGTGAGCACCTCCAGTGCTGCATCAGTTTGTTGAAACATTTCAGTTTGTATTCCTGGGATTTCTTTTTCACCAATGCTTTTAGTGCAGCTTGGACTTCTTCCATCAAAACCATGGGTTCTTGATCATATGCTACCTCTTGAAATGTCTGAGCATAACCAACTCTTTTTGGTATACTGACTCTATATATTCCTTCCATCTTTTTTTTTTTGATGCATCCTGCATCATTCAATATTTTGTCCATGTTGTTTCTGTTGCTGTTGTTAAGCATTCTGTTGAGTCAATTCCAACTCATGGTGACCCTATATATAGGGTTTCCAAGGAGCATCTGGTGGGTCTGAACCGCCAACTTTGCAGTTAGCAGTCCAGTGCTAATCCCACAGCACCACACCTTTTGCCCATCAAATCCTTCAATATTGCCAACCAAGGCTTGAATTTTTTCTTCATTTCTTTCAGCTTGAAAAATGCTTAGTGTGTTTTTCACTTATGGTTTTCTAACTTCAGGTTTTTTCACATTTCATAATACCTTACTTTGTCTTCTTGAGCTTCCCTTTGAAACTTTCAGTTCAGTTTTCTTCCAGTTGCTTTAGCTTCTCTACATTCAAGAATAAGTTTCAGTATCTCTTCTGACATCCAGTTTGGTCTTTTCCTTCTTTCCTGTTTTTAATGACCTTTGGAGTTCTTCATATATGATGTTCTTGATGTCATCCCACAACTCTTTTGGCCTTTGGTCATCAATGTCCAGTGCTTCAAATTTTTTTTGAGAAGATTTCTAAAATTCAGGTGGGATAAATTCAAGGTCATATTTTGACATAGTAAACCATATGATTATCTGATTCAAAATGGCCAATAACAGTCCAGTTCAACTCACTAATGCCTAGGATATAGACCTTTATGCATTCCATTTCATTTTTGATGACTTCCAATTTTCCTAAAGGAACATGGTAGCGCTGTAGGATAAGGGCACTGGACTGCAAACCACAAGGTCATCAGGTTGAGTCCACTAGTTGTTCTGTGGGCGAAAGAGGACATGTTCCCAATATTACAGCCTTGGAAACCTTATACAGGATCACTATGAGTCAGAACTGACTTGACTGCACTTCTGTACTTATCAATAACAATTTTCCTAAATTCATACTTTATACATTCTACATTCTCATTATTAATGGGTAGTTGCAGCTGTTTCTTCCTATTTGGAGTTATATCAGCAACGTATGTGGAAGCATAATGTTATGACCCAATAATCAGTATACCAACAGGGCTTCAGATAGTTCATAGAAAAATGGAATTAAAAGAATGGGATTTTGTCACAAACATTTTCAAGGCCATTCCACACACAAACACACAGAATATATACACATGCACACACACACACACACACATTATGTGTCGGCACTCACACAGTATTCCATTTACATAAAGTCCAGAATATACAAGGGGGATTCTGAAAGTTTGTGTGAAAATTCCATGATCTTTTCATTACATTTTTAAATGAACTTTTTAAAGTCCCCCTCATAGTGTTCAGGAAAACAAAAATACACTAAACAATGAAAGAGTACTGACACATCTTTGTAGTTCAGTCAGCGCTCAGGGATGCTAACTGAAAGGTTGGAATCCACATAGAGGCAACCTCAGAAGAAAGGTCTGGCAAATTATTTTTAAAAACTCAGGCACTGAAAATCGTATGGAGCACAGCTCTATTCTGACACACATGGGGTTGTCATGAGTCAGAATTAACTCAGTGTCAACTGGTTTATATGATTAAGTGCTAGTTGCATAGTCTTTAGGTGTTCTATGAATGAGAGACAAAAATCCATAATTAATAAGTTGGAGAAGACTTCAAAACAGAAGGCTGAATACTGAAAGAGCAGAAGAATATAGAGCTACATGGAAAGGAAGGGATACAGACAATAGAGCTTTAAGAGCAGAAGTTATCATCAGAACTGTACAAACTCTGGCAAAGACAGAAAGAGGTGGGCATAATTTTCAGA